TCGCGACCACCGCAGCTGCAGCCCTTCTGTCCTGCCAGTACCTGTCAGCTGCTTCGGGAGACCCCTGGGCCAACCAGGCCTTGAAGGTCTCCTTCTTCAGCTTGATGACTTCCCTCACCTGCGGTGTCCACCACCGGGTTCTCGGGTTGCCGCCACGACAGGCACCGATGACCTTCCGGCCACAGCTCCTAGCGGCCGCATCCACAATAGAGGCTTTGAACATGGTCCATTCGGATTCCATGTCTCCAACCTCCCTCGGGATGTGTGAGAAGTTCTTCCGAGTTAAAGACCTTCCCGGACAGGGTCCTCCGCCAGATGTTCCCAGTTCACCCTCACTACACGTTTGGGCTTGCCGGGTCTTTCCAACCAGTTCCGCTGCCATCTGATCCAACTCACCACCAGGTGGTGATCAGTTGACAGCTCTGCTCCTCTCTTCACCCGAGTGTCCAAGACATACGGCCGCAAATCAAATGATACGATTACAAAGTCGATCATTGATCTCCGGCCTAAGGTGTTCTGGTACCAGGTACACTTATGAGCCACCTTATGTTCGAACATGGTGTTCGTTATGGCCAAACCGTGGCAAGCACAGAAGTCCAATAACAAGACGCCATTCGGGTTCAGATCGGGCAAGCCGTTCCTCCCAATCACCCCCCGCCAGGTTTCTCCGTCATTGCCCACATGAGCGTTGAAGTCCCCCAGGAGAACTATGGAGTCGGTAGGCGGCGCCCTTTCCAGGACCCCTCCCACCGACTCCAAGAAGGCCGGATACTCTGAACTGCTATTTGGTGCATAAGCACAAACCACAGTCAGAGCCTTGCTCCCCGCAACCTGTAGGCGCATGGAGGCGACCCTCTCGTTCTCCGGTGAGAACTCCAACACAGCGGCGCTCTGCCAGGGGCTCGTGAGTATCCCCACTCCCGCCCGGCGCCTCTCACCCTGGGCAAATCCGGAAAAAGGACAAAGTCCAACCCCTCTCCAGGAGCTTGGTTCCAGAGCCAGCGCTGTGTGTGGAGGTGAGTCCAACTATATCTAGCTGGTACCACTCCACCTCCTGCACCAGCTCTGGCTCCCTAGAGCTAGTCTATGCTGCCGGCGATCGGCTCGCCCAGGCCTCCCGCCTGACCCGCCGCCCGGTCTGCATTGCACCCGACCCCGATGCTTATCCCTGCGGGTGGTGGGTCCACAGGGTGGCTGCTCCATGCTGTTTATTCGGGCTGAGCCCGACCGGGCCCCATGGGCAAAGGCCCGACAACCAGACGCTCGCCGACGAGCTCCCCTCCTGGGTCTGGCTCCGGGAGGGTGCCCCGGTTTCCCTGGTCCGGGCGAGGTGACTGAAGTCCATGGGCTGCTTTTCATTGGGGTTGTTTTGAACCGCTCTTAATCTGGGCTCTCCCCTGAGACCTGTTTGCCTTGGGAGACCCTACCAGGGGCTAATGCCCCAGACAACATAGCTCCCAGGATCACTGAGCCACTCAAACTCCTCCACCACGTTAAGGTGGTGATTCGCGGAGGAGGTACATGTTGTACTTTATACTGTACTACACCTCAGAGGTACATATTGTACTTTGTACTGCACTACATCCCAGAGGTACATATAGTACTTTATACTGTACTACACCTCAGAGGTGCATATTGTACTTTATA